CAATTTCATGGTTATACACAAATTTAGAACAATTTTGAAAAGTTTCAGTAAGTTTCCTAAATGTGCACAAAAGAAGGAAAACTGAAACAACCTACACTAAATTAAGTTACACTGTGTACATACATGTTTATATATAAATAATTTTGCTAATATAGTATATCATAATGGATTTATCAACTGAAGGAAACAAATACAGAATTTTTCTAATCTGGATAAAAGTGCTGATTATGAAGAAATCCAGTCTGTTTTCATGATCATATTAAACATATTTTATGCATAAAATATATTTAAAAGCAATTAAGATGGGGGTACACTTAGTTGTATATCAATTATTATAACCAGAGCAAGTTAAAACATTTTGACAGTGTACAAACATATCTTGGAAAGTGCCCTTTTATAGTAAATTTACAACTACATGTATAAAAATTCCTAGGTCATGATTGGGTAGGTGGTAAGGTGTATTTTTTTCCCGAATTGATCATTTATTTTCATCGGTTGCTATGTATTATTGTTTTATTCGTGGAAGGAGGGAGTGGGTTTCAGGTTGAATTTTTTTTCTTTCCGAACTGATCAGTTATTTTTATCTGTTAGTGTTGCTACCCATGCTTATTTTTCTTTGCCATGAAAAAATTAATTTACACATATGTATCCTCAGGCCAAATACAATAGTATGTCTAATTCCAGTTACATCTATACAAAAAGTTAGGGTAGGTAGGGATTTTTTTTATTTTATGTTTTTTATTTTAAATTGAGTCTTTGGGAGCAACATTCTCAATTTAACAGTGCTTAATGAAAAATGACAAAAAAATCTTTAGGGCAGACTATTATTAAGACTAAAAAGTAAGGTAGGTATGGGATCTGGAACCACACAAATATTTTATTTGGCCTCAACTATCCTGCACTTTATTTTGCAGAATATTCATTGTCATCCTGTCTTGTGCAAAGTCATTTATTTTCAGTTCTTACCAGACAAAGGTATTCCTTTCAAAATCCTCCTGCTCCTCCTCCCTTTCAACTAAAAAAATCAAATTGATGTCCTTTCAAGCTCAGAAATAATGTTGTTATTTTGTAATCTTGAACATATCGAAGTTAAGAAGTATTATGTAGATATAGATTTTGTTATTTTTTGTGGGGATGAAAAGAAATGATGTAAATAGTAAATTTGAGCTATACTAACCTTGGCCAATGGAAAGTACAATGCTTCTTGTCGTGAAGACATGTTGGACATGCTGCTACATCAAACGGTGGTTTTACGTTCTAAGATTGTTGTTGTGAACTGCTAAACTGGATGCTACTTAACGTTTATTGTTCGCTGTCTACTGTACTCCCTATTGTTTAGTTCAAGTAAATAGTTTCCACAAATTACAATATTATCGATATCATGACAGGACACAAATTCACACAACGGGCAATCTAAATCTGAGATCAACATTATCATCTCATCCCAATGAATTTCTTTTACACTCCAAAATATACATTGATACATTGAGTTTTATCATGAAAGTCAGTTTTATAGTTTCAGTTTAATTTCACACATTTTTAGGTAGATTCCTCATAACTTCTTTTGATTTTTGATAAAAACAAAACTGAAATTAATTGTTTTATGTGTCTCTTTTTAATAAATGTAGCCGCATAAGTTCACCATACTACACCAAATATTGTAATTTTTTTCAAAAATCCCAACTTTCTCTCTTGTTACCATGGTAACCAACCAGTATATATATCGTTTGGCATTATTTTTCTGACTGAACTATTAAGATCTACATCTCAGCCGAATTTCAGAAAGATCGGTGACTATGTGTGACAAAGAATGGATATTAACTCTAAACATTACATTTATAGTATTCTGAAATGCTTTCAATTTGTTAACAGAATAGTTTCAAAAAGGTTTTAGACATTTCATGTCAGTAAACATGCACATAGGATAAGCTGGCAATAATTAAAGTCTTGATTTCAATCTTTATTAAAAATTGAAACAGGGATGGGGGTATACAATGTACTTTAAAAGGAAGCTTATATGCAGTGATTACATTAAGGCTATAATTCTGAATATATAAGTATTGTTGTGAGAAAAGGTGTTTTTAGAGAATTTTCTATTTGAATAAATGTTAGTATAAGTTGCACTTTTAAATACAGCTGTTTCTCAAACATCGTCTCTTTTAGGGACATATATAATATTCATAGATAATTTGATTTGTTTACGTACTGGTTCCCAGATATGATCTCTATGTTTCATCTCATAGAGACATAACTTTGGACTGTTACCAGTATAAAAACATATTATTGCGGTGAACACTAATAAAACAAACCAGATTTAACAAATTCATGTGTTGGATTTTGAAAATCGTATTGAGTCACACTGTATTGGAAATCATACATTGACCTATGGATATTCGTTTTTCGTGTTATATGTACATGTATCAGTATTTCGTGCTCTATTCGTGTCAATTCTAAATTTATTACATCTAAAGGTACCTATACCTTTTACTCTATCAAATGATCAAATAACCAAATATTTTAATTTCTATAGAATAACAGCCACGTGCTTTATGATAGGGTTTGGGAGGGAGTATGATATTTAATTCTGACTTAGTTCTCTGTTTAAAAAAATGTCATTCAAAAGTGAAAACAATAATTCTGAACAGCTCGTTAAAAACTGTTGAAAAATATTCTGCTTTTCCGCGATGAAAATGTCACGAAAAAATAGAAAAAACATAGCATCCCCTTTCTTAAAATAAGTTCAAAATAAATTACTTACACAGTGACTTGTATTTTTCATACACCGTAACAATCCATGTGTGTCTTGCTTCATGCGTTCAGTGATATTTCTTTTGTAACTGGATAATGAATGCTAAAGCTTATCTCTAGATCAATTACTGAGTTTTATTTCACGTTTCAAATGACCCGTAGGACGTATTAAAACCAGTACGGAGCAGAAAAGAATATCCCACTTTGGTCGGTAAAATATGATGGAAATCTTGCAAATCGTTGCAGAAAATAATACTTTTTTACGGTATATAAGGCGGATAATGCATATTTTAAGGTTTTTCTTGTGGTATAACACACCTCAGGAGTGTCTGGATTGCCCAAAGAAAGACCTCCCTCCGGTCGGTCTTTCATTTGATCAATCCTGACACCCCTCGGTGTGTTATACCAAAAGAAAGACCTTAAAATATGCATTATCTATAACAGGTATCAAAACAAATAAATGTTCTAAGACGTTTGAAATGCCGACTAAAAAGGGAATATTTAGAAAAAAATATATTTAACTTTTATTAGGCCCGTTCTTGAATATTCTTCTGAAGGTTGGGATAATTGCGGATAATTGAATTCTGAAAGATAAGAAAAATTACAACTGGAAGCAGCAAGTTTTGTCACTGGTCTAACACTAGCACTCAATTACTTTATTTAGAAACGGGATGGGAAAAGTTAAAGATTAGACGGGAAGTTAAGAAATTAACTCTGTTTTACAAAATTATGAATGAGGACGCTCCAGAATACTTATAAGATTTAATACCTCCTACCGTTGCAGAAACAAACAATTACAATCTACGAAGTAGTCACAATATATACCAAACCCCCCGCAGATTGTCCCTTTATCAAGAATAATTTATTCCATCTAGTATCAAATTGTGGAATTCACTCGATATGAGTATTATAAACGAACTCTCTTTAAATATGTTTAAATTAAAAATTAAACAGAAATATTATAAAAACAAATCACCCCCTACATATTTCACACTTGGCGATAGATATTTAAATGTTTTGCACGCAAGATTAAGAAATAAATGCAGTGCCCGTAACATGGATCTGTATCATGCAAATATTAAATCCAACGCAATGTGTCAATGTGGTTATTTAGGGAGCAACCAATTAACTTCAAGGGGGAACATTTTTATTTAGTTTTTCGACTCTATCAATCAAATTATGTTTTTTCTAAATTTAACACTATAAGGATTCAGAATATATTTTTTTTGTCTTCTGTATGACCAGAATATTTTTTTTCATCAAGTTGGAGATCAGAATATTTTTTAGGAAAAAACCATAACCCCCTCCTTGAAGTTAAATTGTCGTTTCCTTATATGAAAATACTCAACATTATTTCCTCTCGTGTAAAAAATATACAGCTCAAAGGAATACCTTATTTTTTGAACTTAGGAAAGAAAATATTCCTACTGATTTTGAGACTTTAATGTACGGTAATAGCATGTATAATATGGACATAAACACGTTAATTTTAACAAAAGTACAGAATTATATTAAAGAGACCAATCGATTTCCATAGCGTAAAGACATTATGGCTAATTATATAAACATTTATAGTGTAATTACTTTTTGTTTTGACTTCGAATGAAATTGTTCAATTTATCCAAACACATGGATCATCCATTTGATTTTATATATAATATCATATTAGTTGACAAAAACAATTTAATTTAATTGCTAAAAAATAAATCCTTAACTTAACAGTGAATATTTATTCCCAGATTAAAACAGCCTACTTGGTCTATCATAAATAAATTTACGGTCAACTCGACTTTTAGAAATCGATGAGCCATGTCGTTTAAATTCTTGTTCATTTCATGTCTCCATATTACTATTGTATGTGTTGTCATTTATATGTTTTTTATTTTGTAATGGAGAAGACGTTCTAAGTTGCAAAACTTGTGTCTGATCCTATTGTCAAAGTTTTTATGGACAATACAATATGTTTAAACATAGCATGACTGTGTTAATAAGGTAATATATATTGTTTAATTTAATTAGGGTTACCTAGTGAATGCAACATTTGATAAAATGGGATTTGAAATAGTGATGAAAATTATATAAACGACCAGCCTAATATCGAATTATACAAACATTATTTCATTTCATTTAAAAAAAATCATCGGTAAAATGTATGCAATACTGCAATAACAATGTTGTGTGCGAGAACGTAGAAGAGCAGAAAATATGAGTACTGTCTTCAAATGCACAATTACATTTTCTTTTTATTTCAGCAATATTAAACAACCCACCGCGACAGTCCAAAAAAGGTGAGTGAAATACATCGCTAAAGGCGGAATTCAAAAATATTCATAAAAATCTCGAAATCTTTTGAAGTTGTCGATAAACTAAAAATTGAAAGCTTTAACTATATCCAAGATAATACATTGAAAATGTAAAGATAGAAATTTCTACATTTCATTTTACCATCCAAACAAACAATTACGTTTTCGTGGAAATAACTACAGATCCAGTATGTAATATCATGGAAGATTATGAACATTACTTTTTGACATGCAAAAAGGAAAAATGCATTAAATTTTTTTTTTTAGAAACAAATAAAACCAATACTATATAAACTTAAAATAGTACATCATATAATATCAATGTGTATGAATACAAGATAAACGATACAAATTATTACAATATTAACGATTTTCTAACAATTATACTTCGGATAGTACACACTGGGACTAAGTCTAATAAATGCTCAGCATTTTATGTTGGTCTGACATGCTTGGCATTTAGGTTGTGATTAGGGGAATAGATGAATAAACAAGGGAAAAATTATCACGTATTCATTAAGGGCAATACAATACAACAGGGATTAAAACATAAAACTACATGTAAAATCTATGAAAATATATTTTAAACAATGGACACATAAATTAGTAATAATATTATTGGTAAGCTTTGTATTTTAGTCATTATCACCTATTAACTTTACTGGTATTTTCTGTTAATTGTTATACTTTATTTTTATATCTTATAATAAAGCAGTGACTCTCATGTATCACATGCATAGTATGATTCTTTTAATTTGACTAGACATTTGCTATAAACTCCATAGATCTGTTTTCAGTGTATATAAAGGATACATGATCTCATTAAAAACAGTTTTGTATTGAAAAAAAGTCACAGTTTATTGGTTTACAATTGTTTGAACATGTTAACTATAAAAGTGGCAATACTTCAAATATTTTTTTTTTAAAGTTCATTGTAGGAAATTGTTCAGTTTTTGTTAATTATTAAACGAATGACGATCAAATTTTAATATATATAGGCACCAAGAAGCAAGTAGTTTAAGTCTGTTTTCATAACACTAATAATTTCATTTTAATTTTTTTTAATATCAATTTTATTTATATGTATGATGTATTATCATGATTATTATTCAAGAAAAATTAAGAAAAACAAATTTTGAACATACATTCTTTGTTTATCAAAGAAAAAAGACCTCAAAACAGATATGCGAGTTTGTCAAACAGTAATGTATTATTCTAAATCAGTGTTGAAATAAACTATAAATAAAACAATGAAAAATTTATCTAAACTTGACTTCCAATTTTATCATTTGTCATGTGATTTATTTATTTATGTTGATACACTGTACAACATACAACAGCATACTATTTTATATTTAACTTACTCATATGGGATTTGGCTTTTTTTTCATATAACCTTTAACCTAATCACTTAAAAAAAAATTTCCTCCAAAATTTACCTGTAAAAAAGGTTAACATGAACCTTTGACAAAATATGAAACATAATTGTCAGCCCATGGAAGAAATATTACACACCTGGCTGACCACCAGACCTGTTAATTGACCCATATAAATGCAACAGTAGTATACCACTGTTCAAAAGTCATAAATCGATTGAGAGAAAACAAATCCGGGTTACAAACTAAAACCGAGGGAAACACATCAACTATAAGAGGAAAACAACGAAACAACAGAAACACAGAAGTGCAACAAAAACAAACGACAATGCACCATACAACATACATAAAACGAACTATTAGATAACAACTGCCATATTCCTGACTTGGTAAAGGACATTTTAAGAAAAAATGGTGGGTTGAACTTGGTTTTGTGAATAACCAAACCTCGCGCTTTATGGCATTGTTAAAAGAGGGACGAAAGATACCAGAGGGACAGTCAAACTCATAGATTAAACACAAACTGACAACGCCATGGCCAAAAATAAAAAGACAAACAGACAAATAATAGAACAGATGACACAACATAGAATACTGAAGACTAAGGAACACGAACCCCACCAAACAATGAGGGTGATCTCAGGTGCTCCGGAAGGATAAGCAGATCCTGCTCCACATGTGGCACCCGTCGTGTTGCTTATGTTATTACAAATCCGGTAAATAGTCTTATTCGGTAGGTCACATTCGTGAAAAGGAAAGGGTATTGTAGTTACGACATAAGGAACATATCCGATATCATCTGTAAAACGTTTATTCCATAACGGTCAACCAACTCGTGATTGGGTCCGTACAATTTACGAAGGGATGATTTCAACTTCACCATTTGGACCTCTTGGTTTAATAGCTTCTTTGTGAGCAGCAATCCTCTATCAAGGAAATCATGATCGGAAATACAAGCCCGGGAATATCGTATCAATTGGGAGATATATACTCCGTATGCAGGCGCTGCTGGAATGTTGCTACATAGAAATGGAAAGTTCACAATTGGGAAGCTGAAATCATCTCTTTTGTCGTAAAGTTTTGTTTTCAACCGACCCTCATTGTCAATTTCTAGATGTAAGTCAAGATATGAGGCAGACTGAACTGTATTTGTAGTATCCTTTATCTCTAGTTCGATGGGATAGATTCGTTCAACATAGTCACCAAATTTTGTATTATTTAGTGAGAAAACATCATCTATATAGCGGAACGTAAAGTTAAAATATGTTGCTAACTTCTTATCTTTCTTCCTAAGAAGTTCCTGAATGAAGTCAGCCTCATAATAATAAAGAAACAAGACGGCAAGGATGAGCACAAATTGGTTCCCATTGGAATTCCGACAGTCTGTTGAAAAACACGTCCTCCAAACGTAACAAATATGTTGTCAATCAAGAAATCAAGCATCTTAATAATGTCAGTTTCAGAGAACTTTTTGTTTGAATCAGAGTGATTCTTTACAAAGTAGGATGTATCCCTCCCCAGGAGAAGATACTTGTATCTACGTTCGCCATTCTGTTTAATGAAACAAAGTAATACCAACTCTTTCAATTTGTCTTTTAGTTTGGAATGGGGAATACTAGTGTAAAGTGTAGTAAAGTCAAATGTTTAAATACTATTGCAAGATGAGAGAGTCTTAGATTGTATGTACTTTAAAAGATCTTTGGAATTTTTTAGTATCCACATCTGATTCACGCCACCTCTAGAATAGGCAGTTTCACAATAACTTTTGAGCCCGGCTTTGATTGCTGATGAAATAGATGTTAATAATTTAGAAAGAGGTTTCGTGGAGCACTTGGAAGACCCAGCAATATACAGTTGTTTGTAAGGACACTTATGTAGTTTAGGTATCCAATACAGTTATGGAAAATCCATTTCTTCATCTTTGGTTGAAATTCCAAAGGAACATAGAACAGACCTATCATTATCCAGGATTTCCTCTTTGGTAAGTGTCATGAGGGTATATGTTGAGTTTCCAAGTGAATTGTCAATACCTAATTCAATATACCGCTTAAATGACAACATTACATGACAGGAATACAGTACAAATAAATACAAGAACACTCAGGACAGTGACATACATTAATAAATAATATAATAGTACATTTCGACATGTTTACCACAGAATAACAACGAATACCTAAAATTAATTTCGGACAGTGCACAAAAACATCAATATTTCACTTCCCTAGTAGTCCATGGTTCATGACCATTTCCCAGTGTGTTTTGTACTATATATAAAGTATCTTATATATCCGAGCAGAAAACAAAACAAATTAATGTGTTTGAAATTCTTAAAATGAACTTCCCCAACATTACGGAAATATTGATGAATAAAGGAAGCAAATACGAAAACCTCTACAATTTGGTTGCAGAAAAAATGATTTATCTTCTTAAACTAAAATTAATAATATCATATCATAATGCTTTCTTTTAAATCTGTTATCATATTATATATTATCTAAACTGTATTTTGTGTAATAATTGTTTACCAACAAGTAATAACGTTCTCACTGAAATGCTATCTACTAACGGTAACGAGGTAGAGATAAGGTACATCTACTTTATGTTTCTCTGACAACTGTACATTTCAAATAAAATTATAGACGATTAACACAAAAAAATCAGTTCGTTACACGGTGTTCTGGTGACCTAATACGATATATACGGGATGGTTAAATTTCATATCGGGATTCGAGCTTTGATCTCACTAAATAGGAAATTTACTGACTCTGTACATATCATATTAGTTCACTAGTACACTCTCTAACTAATTGGTACTCAAAAAGAAGCGATTAAACCAAGAAGTCCAATTGGTGAAGTTGAAATCGTCGGAAATCATTTGTCTTTTTTCTTTTTTAGCCATGTCGTTGTCGGTTTATTTTCGACTTTTGCGTTTGAATGTTCCTCCGATATCTTCTTTAATAGTATATCGATAAAAATAAATAAAACCAATATATTTGCACTATTGCCTTGCGCAAACGTATACCTTCTCAGTAGATTCGTTGAACTGTGTTCTACCCGATTGCTAAAGGTCGTAGAATCGATCCCAGGGCCTGTAAAACAATCGAAATGTTTCATCTGTGACATAATTAATACATGTTAATAGATATTTACTGGCTCTGGAGGAGAGCTGTCTCATTTGCAATTATACCACATCTGCCTTTTTTGATATAATATGTAACAAAATACTTATTTACATTCAATACAATAAGAATTCAATGATTCCTGATTTCAAAAGATGTAAATTATTTTGATAATGTAAACAGTAAAGCAACAAATGAATCGAGTTCCAAGGAAAATTCAAAACGGAAAGTCCTTTAAAAATTGGCAAAACCAAAAGCTCTTACACATCAAACGAAAGGAAAACAACTGTTTTATTCCTGACTTGGTACACGAACCTTATGTCAAATAAATGTATTACTATATTTGACAATAATTCCCTATTTGGAATGATATGAATCATTATTATTGTTTTTCACTAGTAGCAAGATTTTACTCTGAAACGGTAATTTTGGTCTGATCAAGTTTTAATCGACTGAATTTACATCGAGAAATATTTTTAGACTTGC